CGTACTGAACACACTACTCACGTGGGTCTCTAGTCTAAGAGTTGAGGTAGCACATGGTGCTGGCAGCTGTCAGTGGCAGCTGGAGGGCAGGCAAAAGAAGGGGGTGGGTGGGAAGCTATGGGCTAACGTTTACATAGCTAGTTTGATGATTGGAGTAGAGAACCAGTCGTGTCCACCAGTTATCTTCTGACATAGTAAACGAATTAATCGTAATAGCTGATAAACTCGCCTGCTTAGTGCCTGTCACTTGAACATGTCGTCACTTGGAATTCTGACTGAGCCCTACTCTCCGAACCAAATCGGTAAGCACCAAAAGTCGCCGTCTTCGGTGTCAACCATATGCATGAACGTCGTCGATTGACAGAGTGCGAGGTAAGAAATCTCAACCTGCAGTAGAAAACGTTAATAAGTAATCAGAATATCAAGGAGATTTCTCAATGGCAGTTCTGTTTAATCGGCAGTGGTTGTCCATGTACAGTCGGAGCGCAATAAAAAAAAACAGACATTTTGGTTCCAGGTACAGCGAATTGGATTTAATCACATGTTTTTGCTTCTTCAGCTCGAAGCATTGTGCTTCACTTAGAATTGAAGAGCGCGTTTGCATTTCCTAAGAAAATCTCCATCAGTGGCCATCTCACAACATAGACGGCATCAGGAATTCCAGACCGATAACATGATTCACTGGTCGTGGCTTAATGTGGGTCTAGACTTTCGTGTATCGTTAGCGACGGTCCCAAAGGTCGGTCCCGAGGAGGCTTTGGCATAGATGAGCTAATGTCATTAGCAATACTATCGTTGAACCGATCCAGCAAATTATGTTAAGAGCTTCAGGATTAAGCAGTTCTGTCAGGCCTCCTAAGCTCGACGAACGGTGACGTCATCACTGAAGACGTGAAGAGAAGTGAGGGAGGGCGTGCTGCGTACCTATAGAGGGCGCATGTTAGGGGAATATTTTGTTGAGGAACTTCTGTCAGCGAGCACGGCAATCCCGCGAAGCATAAACAGGCCGAAGTGCGACCTGAGCCAGTAAATGTCTTTTTTTCTGGCCCTGCGCTTGTACGTTGCACTGAACACAGATACAGGGTGGGGCATAAATATGGTGGCAATGTAATTCCGCCCAGTCCAAACGCAGAAAAGTCGAAACGAGGGTCAACCCACTAACTCGCGTGTAGCGATAACCTTTCAAACAATTGTTGAACATTTCTTATTCAAAATGGCTGCCCCTGAACTTGACAATTTCTTCAAACTCTCCATATCCGAAGTTGAACTTTGTCCGCATTGACCCGTTTCAGAACTTCATCTCATACTTCTTGAAGTAGCAGGCTGGCTACGAGCCATGTTTCGCGCACATTATTCAAGCTTTAACGTCGAGCTTATGAATTATGCCTACTTTCGAATCGAAGGTTTTGGTTGGCCAATCCTTTGTGGCAGCCCAAAGTTTCGAACGAAAGCGCTGTGTTTTAACAAATTGATCGATGAGCTGCATACTCCATCTTGCTAGCCGAATTCAAGTCGTTAATGATAGTAGAAGTTACGATAGCTCTCTCCAAAATAACTATCATGTATAGGCCATTGGCTTACGATGCTACTTCTACTAACAAACTAGCTAATAAAAGAATCGCGACCACTCAGGTTCACTTCATCGTGACCTACAGCTGTTGTATTTGTGCGCGTAGTTCCTCCTCAACTTCTTTTTTTTAACTCCGGTTTTTCTGAGAGTCTTCTCGAATGGGCGCGTGGTCGCATGGAAAAATATCAGAGGTTTTCTCGGCGATCGGACATATGGCTCCCTTCGCGCTTACGCCCTCAAGCCGTCGGATATTTTAACTCTGCTCTACCCTCTCTATTTGGGGAAGATGTGCTGTTAACCGGTATTAATAATTAACACTTGTATTCAACCTTTTTGTGGCAGATTTCTTTGAACATTTATCCTGATAAGTCGAATTTCAGACGAAATTTTATCAATCTTCCTCTCTAAATCGGCCACTAAATTCGGTAAATAAACCTTGACAACCGGCCAATTTTGTTCTTAATAACCTTGTTGCCCTCTGTGAGTCGAAACGTTATTCTGTACACCCATACAGTTTCGGTCGGGCCAACTTGAGGTTTCGTGCGATGATGAGATGCATCCTTGGAACAGCAAGTGTCACCAAAGATTCACCCGGCAGCACATGAAAAAATACCAGGATCGCCAGCTCGGCTTCATGCAGAATAATTAAAGGAATCTTCTACCCGGCAAATGGACCAGTGGCGGACCGGAAAGTGTTTGTGCGACGAAATGCGTGGGAGTACGGATCCACTGTTTATGGGGAAGGTTTGAAAGAATCGTTGTCACGTTCGGCGTTTCGACCAGGTCGGCCCACTGGTCCATGGTCCCGTGAAAGATTCCTTCAATGGCGCTCATTCACGACAAATAAAATAACGCAACACAAGATAACCAAAAAGTAAGGCAATAGAATCCCTATCAAAAAGACAACTCAGCAAATCTGAGGTCTTGCATGAGCGCGCTCATTGTTCAATAAACCCATTTGCTGTAGTTCGGGTTCTTCTCCCCATGTTATGCCGCACACCGTGGTAAGGGTTTGAATGCCGAATGAGAGCCACTATGTACACATATGCATGAAAGGTCGGTGAAAAAGGGCTGTGCAATCTTTGGTGACGATTCAAGAATGGTACGAGACAAGGTTAAAAGAAAATGGGCCCTGGGACAAAAAAAAAGTAGCCACTCCTTCATGACAGTGCTCGACTGCAGGAGGTTTCGCTCCTGTTCATCAGGGGAGGGGGAAGCATCGTGGAAGCTGCTGTAGTTTGTGCATAATGAGACATTTGAGTGGGTCTGAATGAAGCAGCAAATGGCACAAGCAATCAAGCGCGGCCGCCAGGCACCGTAGCTTGAGTCCCTCGTCTCTAGTACTGCCAATTATGATTTCCATTTAAACAGCTGGTTCGGCCTAGTTCTTACCGTGGCTTGTTCGCTAGCACAAATACACCGAATGTATAATCCGATCTGCTGTCCGCCAATTCATCAGGCAGCTGAATCCCATTCGACGGCCTCTTCCTGTCATTCACACGTGAGCGTGGCGCATCACCCGAGAAGAACTATCCCAGTTTAGTATACTTGTCTATATGCCGCTTCTAACAAACGACAATCTTCGTTGAATTGAATGTGAAATCCCAGTTGTAAGCTAAGCTCTGGCAGCTCATTTCTCCGCAACGATCTGCTGTTCCCAAGTTAATTGAACTGACAAGTCTTTTAGAATACTGTAACTCAGTGTCTGATGTGTATTGCTCATTATAGATAGTAAGTAAGACTGATGTTACGCAGGGTTCAGCCTATTTCAACTAAATTAAGCTTCAAATATATCTAATGACTTTTTTTCTTACACTTAAAAAAAACCCAATGAATGCCTTGTAGTAATAAACCCACTTGGAATTTGATACGCTGCGGCAATTTTGAGGAGTTGGAGCAAGTGGAGCGATGGGAACGAGAGCACCCGTCTGACAGTCTGTTGATTCGCCTCCGATAGCCAACCCGCTTGCACACTTTCCTTACTCGACATTCGCAGAAGAGGACGAACGGAAATAGCTAGAGCAAAAATTAGCACACTCTAGAATGGAGGGACACCATAATAAAACACCATGTGGTGAAGAAGACAAAGAATGCAGCGATCTAAAAATACCACCCAGACCAAAACAACTGAATCTCATGACGAGGCCCAGAAGAGACGCAAATGTTGTCCCAGCAGTGTGTAGAAATATAGAGCACCCCTTGCTTGACTTGACAAGTCCAATGAGAGCTTTCAATGAGATCTGTCCAATCCCGGGGGGGGGGGGTTGCATTCAGATCGCTCCATTCTTCTTCAAACTTGTATTTTGCCATTATATCGCGACACCTGCATGGAATGACACAATGTTGCATTTCTGCGCTGACTTGCTGATCGACAAAACAGCAATGAAAAAGAGTGCTTAAATGGTTTCGATGTCCCGTGGTGACAAAGTTTTGCATTTCGATTGTTTTTTGACGCTGCTTGTGTCGCAAAATGATGTCCACGGCTAGCAGTGAGGCATGCCTCCATAAGGATCATCCTACGTAAGCTAAACGAGTGGTTTTTTTGCCACACGATGTTCAAACGAATGTGCGCTTAGAGCTTTTAACGCCCTGTTTGCATTTAGAGAGCGCTTAGAAGCAATCACCAATTTCCTCTTCCCATGGTAAGCCCCCCCATATAGAAAAGCTGTTGTTGAAATAGCGTTCGCCGCCCACGATCTAAGATGATCTCCGACTCTCACTATTAGGTTACCTCTCTGATCAAGGTGAAAATTCTGCTTCACTACCTCAGATATCATTTGAAGGGCCACGTGTTTTTTTTTTGCCACAACGAGTCCAGAAATGTGCCTTAAGACTTTAACGCGCCGCTTTTTTGGCATTCAGCAGAGCTGCTTAGAAGAATAAACCACAGTTCCTCTTCCCGGTAAGCCCCCCACACATAAAATAGCTGTTTTGAAATAGCGTTCGGACGCACGATCTAAATGATCTGCCGACTCTCACTATAGGTTACCTCTCGTGGGGGGCGGGGGGGGGGGGGGTGATCAAGTGAAAACTTCTGCCTCACTATCGCTCAGATACTCATTTTGCAGGCCACGGTGTTTTTTTCTTATGCCAGCAAAGCGATTTCAAGAAATGTGACGCTTAATGACTTTTAACTCCGCTTTTTTGGCACTCAGAGAGCATCTTAGGAAAATAAACACAGTTCCTCTCCAGGTCAGCCCCCACATAATAAAAGCTGTTTTGAATAGCGTTCGCGCACTGATCTAAACATGATCTCCGATCTCTGCACTATTAGGTTACCTCTATTTACGATATTAGGTTACTGCACGAAGTACCATGTCTAACCCCTGAGAAACATGAATCGCAATTTCGTAGAAAATGCGTTCCGCTACCGCAAGCTGCTCCTACCGACGGCTTGTAATGGCGTTTCGGCTCTGTTCGAGCAATCCTAGTCAGCCTCCAATTCAACTGCCTGCATCCGTACCACCTCTTCTACGTTCGCTCCATTTTGCTGAAAACTTTGAAATTAGTGCACTTTGAGCTCATTAGAAATAACATAAACGTGGTACTGTACGCCTGAATATAGAGTTAATACACATAGAAACGAGTGATATGCCGATTGATGATGTAGATAAAATCAGCATGAAGTAGAATATTTGCTGTGTCCGGTGTGATGTGCCCAACCCCGATTGTGCTGCCCGCGGTATCGTTTATGTCACATATGATCGATCAAGACCTAGAGTGAACCTTATCAAAGACTTGCCTTAGGAAATTAAAAAGAATCGAACGCGACGAAGTACATCCCAGTCACAGTTCGCCAAATGCAAAGAGTCGCAGATCACACGAAGATCCAAAAGAAATCACGTACGAACAATCGCGATAAGGAATAGGCAAGATCGAAGATGTCAAATCTGAAAAGTGGAGTGGCAGTTGGGCTGAAACAGTGTAAAGCTCCTCGAGCCTGCCGTGTCGAGCCAGGGTTCAACCAATGTTGTTACTAAGAACAACGGGGGGTCGTACTTGTTTAGTTTTGTAGGAAGGGGTCGTACACCGTTTCATCGCTTGAAATCAATTTGTTAGTTTGAGGTTGAAACTGAAGTTTGTATGGGTAGGTAAGGCTGGGTGAGTTGAGGGCGCGTAGGAGAAAATTCGTATGTTTAAGCGCGCGTCAGAATTAAATAATTACATGATGGTGGTCGAGGTGTGGAAAAGGGGGGTCGTATCAAATCACCTTGGGGATGGGTCGTAAAATTTTTCAGAAAAGTAACAACGATCGGGTTGACCCGTGTCGAGGCAATGGTCGCGTATTTACGTAGGCGCGGCGATGTGTTGGGCGAGACTGCATCTCATGGGAAAATGTTCTCATAAATTTTCTCTCCAAATTTTGGCGTTTGTCGCAAGACATAGGAGTAGCGTTTTTTCTTTTTCTCGACGCTATAAGACTGCAGATTTGACTAATGACATAGCAGCCCCGCAGTCTTATTTCAAAGCCCGCTTGCTTTTTAAGCTATGGTGAAAACACCTTTCCTAACGTATTGCCTGGCTCCAGTTCCGAGGCCTACCGAAGGCTTAATGGTTAGTATTCCTAATTTGATTACTACCCTGTTGATGTGGCATCGTTCTATTAGTAAGGAAGCAGGTTTCGGAACTGTAAGCAGCCTTTCAACAATTACTCTTGAAAACAGAAAATGGACAATGCTACCTAACTCTACTGTGGAAATGTCTACTAAGTACACCCCTACGATAAGGCTTTGTGTCGTGCGCTTCATACTTCTGGTTTCACGCCAACTTTCTGTGGCCAGGCCAAGAATCGTAGGTAAGGTTTGTGCCAACAGTTCTAATGCAAAGGCCTGGAAAATACGACATTCAATACCTCGGGTATGAGAATATCATCGCAAAGGGATCCATTCTTTCCTCTGCAAATGACTATTCGCTTATAATGTAACTAATATCTTCGTTCAAGCTAGTATTCATGGATTAATAAAAGGATAAGAGTGTTTGCCGTCATTCAATTCGCTTTTTGGGATGCCGCACGCCATCTAGCTCCCATTTGTTGGTCATTCGCAGTGGCGTTTGAATGCGAATGTGGCCTATACAATGACTTTGGCGGAGGCCAGCCGATATAACAAGTCAGTATTTTATCCTCCCCAGACAATCTGGTTCCAATTACGGACTCCGAGGGATTGAAGGCTTGGTGGTCTACGCGACTCACGACCGCAGGATTTTATCCCCCGTACCGTTCGCCCTGTAGTTAAGCGTCCCCTTGCCGCTACCCCTTCCGCGAGTTTCATGGTGGATGTAGTAACCAAAGTTCATACTGCTAGAGCCGCTACTAACGAAAATGAATCAGGAAAATCAGTTAAACACTATAAGAATAATCGTGAAATTGAGAGATGATAAGGAAAAATAATTGGAAAGGTGTTGATAAGATTAACTCAGGCTAATCTCCGGACTACTGCCATGTGGCCTAAATTAAGTATCTGATCGTTACGGCAGTACACTCAGCACTATAGCAACTCTCACTTGGCAAAACCAAAAATAACCTGCGTTAAGATTTCAGAAATGTTCTTGGAGCAATTCGAAAATAAGAATCAGCCAAATTTGCGTTTCCATAGAGAGATTTTTCAAATGACCAAACATGTTCTTCAGCAAACTCTTGCACTGATTTACGTACATATCTAATTTGCTTTTGCTTACCTCGCTTACCTCGGCATCAATTTACGTACTCGGTCCATCGTTTCTTCGTGCAGTCCGAAACATCCGTCGACAACCTGCATTTGATCACCACACTCATGGTGTTTTCAAACATCGAGTTCGCAGTGTTTCCTTGAAATCCATAATTCAATAAATTCAATGCGCATGGAATCTGATGTAATAAATCAATCTCCCATAACCATGGCGCATGAAATGTGCCACCAGTTTTTTTTTTCGTCGTTCAAGCCAGGTTCACGCTTATCAGTAACCTCAATCCGAGGTGAGAGACCTACCTATTGAAAAGTATGACTCATGCAAAAACAAGCCATAAGAAAAAAACTGGTAAAGAAATGAGAGAATGATAAAAAAACATAAGTTGCGGGACATGTTAGTCCTCGAAGATTAATTCTACAATCTTCGATCATTGCCATGTGGCCTTAATCTAGTGCCTAGAGATGGTTGGTCGTGTTTAGAAAAATAGCCCATTTGAACTTCAAGATCTAATTAACATTTTTTTTACCGTTTTCCTTCCTCTTGCAGCACTAGGAGGGTTGTCTGGCCCCCCACCCTCACATTTTCAATCTCTCATCGCGTCAATAAATGTGATAAAGAATTATTGGGTGATGCAATTATTGCGAATTTTTTTTCGCGCCTCTTTGACAAAGATTGCTTTCTAATTCATGTTTTTTTCATGACGGACATCCACCTCCTCCTTCTATTTTTCATTAACAGAAATACTTATCGAAAATGCATCCTCTATATGCGCTACATATGCTCTATCCACTTAGGAAAAGATTGTGAAGTCGCCGTAGTCGTTTGCGATCTCGTCGATCTTTTCGGCGAGCGAGAGAACAACCAGCAAAAGCCAAGGTGTTAAAGCTGGTTGAAGAGGTTCAAGAACCACATTTACCGGGCCGGAGTCCCTACAGACTACCACTTTGTCAATCAGTTCGTTGGTAAACTGCAACCAACAACCTTTATGAACGAGCTGGGATGGCCTGGTGGCGGATGTTAATGCGCGTGGCTGCTTGTCCAAGGATCGTTTCTTACCTGCGCACTCGTGGAAGAGCCCTACTGCCAAGCAAATTAGGAAAGCATTTTTGGATGACGGAAAGTACGCTTCGGGACAATTATTCGAAATGTTTTCGATAAATATCATTTATGGTTGAGAACACATTCTTTTCAGCTAACATAGGAACTTCACAGTGTGCTACTACGTGGACGCCATTCAGAGAGCATAGAAAACTCTGTCATGGGAACGTAGCTGCGCGAGGGCAAGCCAACGGGACTTCGACCGGATTGTGGCCTATGCTTGTTTTCTGAAACGCTTATTGGAAGGGTTTGTAATATCGCAGAGCTATGTCTCGCCAGGAAATACATCGGAAAAAGAATGCATTCAGAATGTGCGCTGCCTCCCGCTATAGAGGCAATCCGCCGTAATCAACTTGACACTGTCACCGTCAGCAATCTCCTTAAGCATCACCGTAATCACTCTACTGTCACTGTCAGCAATCTTCTTGAGCTTGGCAGTGATAGTGACTTCGACTAACAATCAATTTCTAATCATGCATGAAAACTATAATCGATTTTTGATTAGAATAGATTAGTGCTAGCCATCAGTCAGCTCCTTTTTGATAAGAGTCCTTGACAAAACACCCCCTTATGATGGCGGATGTCGTTAATATCTCATCTCAATAGTCATGCTTGCTATGCGCTTATGCAAATGTGGACGGATGTTCATCGCTCACTGGCACTTGGCTTGACGAGATAACACGACCGATAGGTTGGAATCGGGGACATCTCCGCCAGTTGAGTGGACACCCCCAATCAATTGTTGAATGACGTACGTAAAAACCGGCAAAAGCGCCCAATGTTCCACTAACTGTGCGCTTGGGAGTTCTACTGAGCATGGATGTATTGGGAAGGTTTCTACTGGTTATTTATTATTTGAGCTATCTGCCTTATAGGCCTCATTATTTGAGCTCTTGTTATGCAATTTCGGATGAGGTTTACTCACTTCCGGCTGAGAAAAAGACGAAAAATTTTGGCTTCCTGTTACATCAGCACCTTTACTACTGTATCTCTGGAAAAAAAAATACTGACGGAAATTACAGTCCTAGAATCATATAAATGAAGGTGCCTTAATTGAATGACACTGTTTTCTGGGTAGATTTGAAAGCTTGCATGAGAGCGCTGATTCTGCAACTAGAGCAATGAATTCCAGCAGTAGTAAGCAGCGAAAATGAAAGTAAAGTAGTATGAACGGAATCACAAGTTGCGATGCAAACTTTCATCGTAATTCTTCTAATTTTGATGATCCCATAATTTTACAATGGAATTGCCCACCTAAATCATCAAGAATCGACAGGACAAGTGGAATGCCGAAGATAGCGTAGATCATTGTGAACACTCGGCCGGACACAGTGGAAGGATAAAGATGACCGTATCCAATTGTTGTGCAAATGGTCTGAAATGAATGTCTTAAGTAATTGAAAATTGAAAGGGCCGCGATGCAGTACATGGAATCATCGGTCACCCTGAGTTCACACTACTCTTCAAAAATTAGGCTCGGTCCTGCCGGTAGGTTCTCCAGACAAGACAACGTAGTTCTGACTATGGATGTTGAATTACTAATTCGATTATCCATTCTGGGCCAAGGTGATCATCAAAAACATTCGAATTTTGAGTGGAGGCCAAAGCGCAAACCGTCGACCATTCATCTCGTACTCTTAACCGCCTCACTGGCTGGAAGGGTATATTAGTCCTGGGAGCGTTTTCACAAGTCTTATTGTTGGTCAATCCTTTTGAAGCAAGAACTTTTGCATAACTGATGTGAGATTTCTAACTCCCGAATTCTTTTAGCTTCTAATTTTCCTCAAACAAACCTGAGCATAAAGCATGCGTTCCAGAAGTCCCACTTGATCTTTTGATCCGTGTACCTTATGCCAAGCTGTTTCTCATAGCGTCTCACTTCGGCATGTAGTTTGGCAGATACCTGAAGGAGATTAATTTTTTGATGACGAGTTTGATATTTTAACACGTTGACGACATCGCGCTTTTGCCTTTTTTGCCGTTTGGGACCGCACGATTTTATAAGCGCCGTCATTTCACTGCATAACCGTGGATGGGCTGATAATACGCAAATTTTCTACTCGGCAGAGTGTTTTTATTAATATTCAGTACTTAACTTATCGGGACTTACACAGATGGAAAATCTACCAAAATAACGTGTTATGGCCACGACAAGGCAAATTGCACTTCCTTTCGCTTTAGGCGTTCAAAATTATTTTGTATGTTGCCGTTGTTTTAGTGAAAACACGTATTCTGACATACAGGGGGGCAAAGAAAAAAAATACATTTGTCCATTCTTCCAGGATGTATTATTAAGCCAACATTTTGCTCTATTCAGACCGAGTGGTCCCTAACTTATCTATTAAGAGAGCGCATTCCATTCTGTAAGAAAATCTTTCTATTGTCTTTATGGGACGATCAGAAGAATTCGCCTCTGGAAACATGGTGCACTGTGAGCTCAATGGGTCTTCGACGGATCGTGTTCATAAGACCCTACTGGAAACAGTTCTGATGGGATTTGCACTAGTGTAGCTAATGCCTCTTAGAATAACGCAAACATCAAATCGATACACGAACTTGTACACGTAAGAGCTTCAGGCCAACTCTTGCCGGTAGACTCTCCTTAAGCTGACGACGGTGACAGAGACGTCATATTCAGTAAGATCGGTGAGGGCAGTGAGGAGGGCCTGCATTACTTATAGAGGAGACTTAGGAATACTCTGCAAGGAACTACCTTTAACGACAAGCCAAATCGATGAAGAAAAAAAGAGCCGAATTCCGCATAAGCAAAGTCTATTTTTTTTAGGCCCCCCCCCCTTATGAGTAGTGCACTCATATTATATATTTTTTATCTACTTGTTACCTCCATGAAATTGCAAGTGAGGAATGAATCTGAACAGCCGAAATCCTTAAAACCCCTGTCAATAAAGAATCTTATGTCCATTTTCCTATGGCCACGTGGGTCTAGAGGTTCGAGTGTATGGCCTATTAGTTAGCACAAAAATGCCGAAATAAACCACATGTGGAAAAATGGTCTCGTGCGTCGCCCAAATGTCTGACGCGCATGCGCGCCACCCTGTCGCCAATGTGATGATAAGGGAATCATGCCCCATAAACGGTAAGGGATTCTTTGTAATCCGAGTTTTTCAGGATAAGATTCGAACTTTTCGTTGATCATTTGATCTCTGATACGCATTTACCTCATCTGTCTGCTCTTGTGTCAGAAAGAATAAGTAGTCGGTGTTGTTGAACATCAGTGGTATAATATCGAAGACGAACTTTGTTCGGTTCTCTGCTATTCTGAATTTACATTGATTACCTTTGAAAGTAGTAGACCGCCGTATACCTTTTGGAGCAGTTTCTCCCACTAATTCTCTCCCTTGTCCTTGCCACACCACTCTCCCCTCCTCTCCCTTTCTAAGATCTTTTCATAAGTCTTTCTCTGCAGGAATCTATCCAATTAAGAGATGCAGCCACATTGAAAGTTTTTGTTGTTTTTCAAAAGCGCTCTTTTCTCTTTATTCACCGAAAATAGGGCTGTCATGAGGTGGTCCGGCAACAACCCGAGATGAGGTGGCGTCGAAGAGTCTGCTCTTTTGTTGGGATAAAGTAGCCCACGAGTATTACAGATGTGCCGTTTTTGCGACTCGATAGCGACAATGGCGCTAGCGCACTGCAAGGTGTTCGGTAGCGACTAATGTTAACTTCCGGACGACGTACCTCGCGCTAGTTCTTACGCATTGGGCTGCGACGTAGATAGCTGATAGGTGATAGACATGGTAGCCTCATCGAACTGATGCGGTTGCGTTCAAAAAACTCGTCCAGACACGCCTTTTCCACGCCGTCATTATCAATCGCTGTTTCCCCAGCATTTGGGGTTGTTACTTAATTAGAGTTAGTGATCACCTGATGTTCCAGATCTTCTCCTTTGATTCGTCAAAACCAGCTTCGCAAAAATAAAATACACCAGCGCCAATAAATTGATATATGATAAGGATTGATATCAAGCACACATGTTTTAAACCGTAATCGTGATAAATCTGAAATTATACATTGAGTTGTTTTGACTGAGGATATCATTCCAAGAAAGTAATTATGTGCTTGTCTATTATAACAAGTTTTGCACGTTTTGGGCGTTCCTGACAGAACGTCAGAAATCCTAGAGGAGGGTAAGGGTTTGGTAGCGTAGTGCGCATTCCTGAGAGTCAAAGCAAGCATATTTGGGCCTTCAAAACGATTGAATGGCCAAAGTGTTGGCCAATAATAACATAGCGAAATTGATGCAGAAGTATAAAAACACAGACAGTGGCAAAAATGCTGAGGTTTCAAGATGAGACGATTTGAAATGATTATGAATTATATGACTTTCGATTGCATTGTTAGAATCTCCGGGATATGAGCTTTAGGAAGATCATTGGGTTACATAAAAAGTGAACTCCACTAGCTAGTAGAAACCTTTTTGAACATGGCTCTAAGGCCAATAATAAATCGCCAAGGTGGACTGGGACAAAGCGTTCAACTCAAGAAGTGTTACTGATTATAGAAAAAAAAAATACGTTTCAGAGGTACCCATCGTGGACTTTGCGTACCCGTTTCAATACCTCGGGACAATCTTCACGCAGAGCTATTGGCATACAGAGTGTGCCTGAAATTCTAACATTGTACACCGATAGTCTCCTTGAGTTCAAAATGAGAATGGGCGTAGGTGAGCACATTAGACAAAGGGCGTAACGTAGTTACAAATATTGGGTAAAGGCTTTTTGGAATCAACAATGGAACGCTACAGTCTTAATTCAGCCAATCAAACAAGCCTGTTCGTTCTTTTTGCCGTTTGATCTTAGAATCTGCTTTCTGAACTACTCTAGTTACGTAAACGCAGGGTCGTTCTAACACCTGCCTTCATGAAAGAAAACAACGTGCCGTAGCCTTGTGGCCATTGCCATCTACCACAGAAATGGTTTAGCAATATGGAAAGTAGCTTCTGCGCAGCATGCAAAGATCCTATGAAAAGTCAGCTTATTGAAAATGTGGGCAGCAGTCAAACGGTTTCTTCGCCCACATTTTGAAAAGAGGAGGTCGCATTTTGGTTGCAATGTTAACTATCTTGATGATGTTCTTTCACGAGTTTAGTTTCGAAGTTTCATTAAAGCAGGTGAAGGCGACAAACAAGATGAATCTTGCCGCGGAACAAATCATGATTCTACTCATCCATAATCACTGGCTGAGACTCATTTATCGCGGATTAATAGTGAAAAGAACCGAAGTAGCTTTCGTTTGATTAGAATTCAAAAAGCTCGAATAAGGCTGCTATCGCACTTCGAATGCCCACGAACGTCTTTCACGATGCTGGCGACGGGGATGCTCATAACTTGGTCTTGAGGCCTTCATAGAAGCTCTTCTCGCCTTCTGCTTCGTTGCATCACATCTTACATCTAGTGCATTCTTATTCCATCGATCGATGTCTCACTTCTCCAAATCGCGCGCTTTAAGGCCGATCTCTCAATTGCGTCGCCTGTGGTACGTAGCAGGCCAAAACGCGTCTCTTTCCAGCCGCGCCTGGCTCTGCCTCCGGGCCTTCATGTCCAAACGTGTATTTTGTACGTTTTTCTCTTCATCCAACCAAATCTTCATGCCTTGAAAACTTTGTGTACTTATTTCCAGTCGATCACAACTGACATATTCATGTTAGGCAAAGAGTGCAAGAAAAAAATAAAAAAAAAAATTTTCCCGCAAGATTCCTTTTAACGATTTGCTGTGTTTTGCATAACCAAATGTTACCCGCTCGGCGGAGGATTTTGGAGTACAAGTGAGCGGTTGTTTGTTCGACTGTGCCATAATCAAATACCAAATCAAATACAGCGCGATGATTCATGGGAGGCGCTTCGATTCAAAAGAGGGAAAGTTGCGAGTAATTCATGTCGTAATGCGCGATCATTATTTAAGGCCGATGATGACGGTGGAATGTCGCATCAGGAACCTTCCTTAAGGAGGCGATCGTACACCCTAAGAGTGGATAGGATCTGGAAAAGTGCGATCGCGACTCTTGACCTTGTGAAGGTAGTGTGCGTCAATGAAACAGGGTAAAGAGTGAAACATGTAAAGCGTACCAAACCTTAGAACTGGACCCTTTTTTCGCCGTGTATTTCCGCATTCGATGCGCACCCTCAACATTGTGCTATCTTTCAACGCTAACGCTCTAATGTGCTATATAATGCTCGCCGCGTACAGACCTGCGGCGATGTGATTAGATCTTTCTGATTAGACATCTGAACCTCCTGGTCGAAAGAAAGCCTAGCTTAGATCACCGGGACAAATCCTTCGATGCGAAATCTGTGGTGTGCATTCACTAGGGTCTCTGTCTCTGCAGACAAGTAAGATACCAAGTCGCAATGGCTCAGTAATTAATCCCATACTCAGAAGTGTAATTCTGACGTGATCTCAAATCCACTCTCCAAATCTGCGAAACTGACTCTCTGAAAAAAAGTTACGGTGGTTTTTTCAGAAGTCATTTACAAGAGGCCCTTCAATGGAGGACTCCAACGGGCCGTCCTCGGCCGAGGCAGTCGGTGGCGCTTCATGCTCGGAGACTATGGTTCGTATCCTGGGGAAGTTCACATGTCTTGCTTTATCAATTATGCCGCTTCAGCCCAAAAGAACCTTTAGGTGGAAATTAACACAATGTACAACCGCCAGTCACTTGTTGGGGGCCATCTTCAAGCATGACGCTTCACAGTTCCTTGCTAGTTAATTGTCCACTCTAGCTTCGTCTAGCTGGTCGATTTCGACAATTTATGAGCAAATTTTGCGTTAACTTATACTACAAAATGCTTGAAATTTTAGAGAGTCTTTCGTTTTCTCATCTTTCGAGGCTGGGCAACAGTCGCGACACCTGTTTAAATAATGAGTACGCCAAATACGTCGTGAGAAAGCGAGTAGGCGGTGAGAGCCCCCAAACAAGATATCCGTGGAAAGGGTGCGTTAATTTCCACACGAAACGGGTGGTGGCGGCGGAAAGCAGGCAGATTGGAGAAATAGCAAAAACGTTTGGACGGCACCAAAGAACCGAACCAGGGCTCACCAGCATGAGGCGCCACCAACGACCATGCGCGAGAACGCCGCGTGGCAGTCTGCCAGGAAAGGCGCCGCGGCGAAGAACATGCAGGTGGAAAAAACAACCCCGGAACTGTTTTCAGAGAAGCGTGGTTGCCAGGGAGTAGTGGGAATGGGAGCAGCGTTCAAAATTACAAGGGAGAGAAGTAGGGCATTACGATTGGGCCACTTGCGACGGGGGAGCCCGTTCGCCGGGCAACAGGAAAGGTTCCTGCGGCTTGCACCGGGACGGAAAGGTGCGAAAGAAGGGGCGTGAACAGCGAGACACCAGAGGAGTCTAAATTGCGAGAAGCGGGACTGAAGGTGCCCCAAAAGGGGCAGAGGGAGGGCCGCACGGGAGAAGCCACTTAGCGGAGCAGGACGAGGGCAGGACGACATAGCACGGGGCCGACGGCGAAAAACCGACCCCGGGCGAAATCGAGGGCGAACACGCGAGAAACGCGGGGACGCGGGGTGGGGGGGCGGCGAGGGGGCACCGACGCAGCACACATGTTCAGACAGCCACAAGGGCGAGGAGGAGCACCAGCGAGGCAGCCACGCGGCAGATGGAGCCGACAGAAGCGTTGAGATTACACAAGAAAAGACCGACAGAGGGGCCGCGGGAGGCGTGAAGTGAGGAGGGGGGCGGAAAGGTGAGTTGAGGAGGCAACCGCCGACGCAGGAAAGAAAAAGATGAGACGAAGAAGCGACACACGCTGCGTGTCGGAACCAACAGGCGGGGAGCAGCCGGCATGAGAGACCGGCACAGGAAGGGAACCCCAAATAGTCGCCGGACCAGCTGTACAAAGGGAAACACGGCAAGCGTCGCACGAAGGAGGAGAGGAAAGAGGGAGATGCGAGAAAAAGCAGAGCCAGGCAGCAGGGCGGGAGAGCAAGGGCTGAGGGAGGCCAGCCGGCGAGACAAGGCCCACGACTGGGGAAGCAGGGGTGGACGCGAGCACAGAATGGCCGAGCGCGCCGAAAAAGCGGGAGAACGCCGGGGAGCGACGGACAGAAAAACCAAGCAGAAGGTGTTTTCCGCCGGGGAAGATGGAATGGGGAAGGGGTACGGGCATGGGGGGCCACCGGGAAGGCGGGGGAAAACTCGGCATCTCCGTCGCGGGCTTGAAAGCCAGCGCAGATCGGTCCCGCTAGATGATGTATGTACTTCGATAAGGGTGAGTTGAATCAGGGTGCCTCAAGATTATCACCGTGTTTGAAGCGCGTTATTCCTTTCAGATATGCGCCGTTCACTCGATGGCTGCCTCTGGCGTTTACTTAGAGACTAGCATGCCATGAAGACAGCTGCGGAGGTGGCGGCTGGGGAGGAACTCGTCTGTTTAAACAAACTTCGCTTTCGACTGAGATCTATCAGTAATGAGCGCTGCTGAATACACAGAATCTATCGCCTGAACAGGTGAGTTCCAATGTTTTTTGATTCTGGCACCTTATAAAACAAAAATATTCTTGGCATCGTTGCATTTTGAAGTTGCTTGCATGTACTTTGGTATCATCGGGATGGCCAGTGTTATTTGTTCCTTTAACGATCAGCGTCGACGATCAAATTTTGTGTATTGGCGCAAGGGATTATTCCTGACACGGGTTTGAGCGACTTTCTCGTTCCCAAGCATACTAGCAATTTACCGCTAACGTGCCAGTGTACTCATCATTAGTCGTGGCTTATTAAAATCATTTGCGGCTTCCAAATTTTTTTGATATAGTTGTTTAGCTGCCTTTCAAGTTCTAGAAATTTAGGAAAGCACTGGCGTCAGTAGCCGCGGCATTCAAATGCGCTGTACGCTCGTCCCACAAGCTGCTGCCAACCATACCATACTAGCAGATCTTATTGGCGTAAAGTGTCACAATTTTTGGCCGCTTTCACTGCAAGACGGAGAATATTGGGGTGCATAGCGCTCAACGTTTGTGTGTGGACGCAGAATTGTGTCAAAGAATTATGCGATGTTAGTCACACAAAGAAATAAATTTTGAAGAAACTTTTAGTTGATTCCTCCTCGAAATATGTAAAGAAGTTTTGCGGAAAAAAAGACCTCGTTTTCTTTCAAGTGGCCCCTTTTCCCTTCCCCTCCTCAACACTGTGTCGCTCTCGCCGTAGTACGCTGTGGAGCGTGGGGAGGGGAAGGCTAGAGAGCATGCCCAGTCGAGCGGCACGCACACACTGTCATGCTGCGCTATTGAGTGAAAAACGACAGCCTTTTGCAGCGCGGGTCAAGGCGAGGGCCTCAGCGCCTTTGTTGCGCTTTTTCGAGTCACCGTCACGCCACGACTCCTGAGGCACCCCACCTTCTCTCGAATATTGCTCTAAGGATGCATGAGTCCGCAGCTTTATCTCTGCTCAAAACAATCTTTACGTTAGCGGTAAAATCCGTCAAAACTCGGAAACAACGGAGCCGAGAGATAGGGCCCTGCGTTTTTGGGTTCACGCTTATTTCCGGCCCTTTTTTGGTATGTCAGCACGCCAACTGCTACTTTGCTTGGTACGTTTGAACAGTATCAGCTCATCACGAGATCTACCGTTTAAACGAAA